TAAATTCATTCTTCCTAATTATAAAAAAAAACTTTTTCTTGATGTATAATCCAATACTTTAGCAGCATTACAAACAGTAAAAATCATGAATAAATTTCATTTCCATACCCTTGAACATCATTCTTTTTGAACATTACTCCCTAATAAAATTCTGAATTTAACATTAATCCTCTTTCCTTCAAAAAATTGGGCATCTTGAAATCTTACGCATTTTATCTCATATATCTTTTAAAATAATATAATCTTATGTTAATCATTTTAAAAATCTCTTAATACCATTAAAACACATATTTACCAAATGTAAATTTCAAAATCTACAGGAAGCTATCTTTCAAATTTTCAATTAGCCATGTTTAACAAAACCAATGTGACTAAACTTTCCAATTTATTACTAGAGTCTTCCTTCCCCCCAAAAAACAAGAAAAAAACCTTAATCTTCTATTCTTCTCTTCTTTCTATATTTTTTCCAATCCTTTTTCTTTATTAATTCTTTCAACATTGTTCCTCCCCCCAATTTTATTTTCGAAAATTTAAAAATGTTAATTTGAGGTTGATGTATCTGGAAAACTCGCTCTCTTCTTGAAATCACTTTTTCTAATTTAAAGTCTCCATTTCGACTCTTCTTGCTTGTATAATCATTCAATTCATTCCTTTGTCCATAAAACCAAAATTTGTTGCCATAAAGTTTGTCAGCTTGCAATAAAGAGTTTATTTGTTGCTTTTCTATCAGTTGAGTGGAAACATCTGCCGAGACCTCTGTTCCATTTATGCCAATCTCCCTTTCAGTCCTGACAGCCTCTTGATCCTCCAAAATCAAAATCCTCTGAGTAATTTCCTCTTTTTTCCCATCCAACAAATGATTAAGACTTTCCAAGCTATATTTTTGAAAAGCTCTTTCAACTGTTTTCAAAAGAGCAGAGGTGAAAGAGTCTGAAAGTTCTTGAAAAGCTTTAACAGTCACAGCTTGAAAATTTGCTAATTCACCAGGCAGTGATCCTCCAGCCTTATTGTCAGCCATGTTTCAGACAATTTATATTTATCCAGCTATCAGGACGACAATTCCAACTATTTTCCACACAGTTTAAAAATGAACCTTAATTGAGATCAGTACCAAGTTCTTTTCCTTGCTGCTTCCACTTTAAAACTTTCTCTTAAGGTGTAATCCGGTAGCTGTATCAATGTTACAAACGTTAACAAGCGTTAACAAGCACTTTCCCTAATAGCTTCCTCCTCACGCCCTCAGGCGCCATTTTCTCATTTTAAAACAGAGTTAAAGTGTTACTTGCAATTTTTTTCTTTTTTCTCCTGATTCGCTCTGTCTGCAATCAAAGTAAAGATGTTAGAAGTCCCCTCCTTTATTATAAGCAGAATTTGGTCACGGCTTCTAGCTCCGCTTCAGCGGAGTCGTCCCAGGTCCGGAGCAGCTTGACAGGCTTCTATAGGGAGCCCACACCCTTCGCGCCCCAGGATTTCTCCTAGCGCACTTGGGGGGCTCTACCTCCACCTGTCGGCTCTTCTCTCTCCCCTTTGCCCAGGGAGAGGGTTTTTCGCCAACAGACAGCTGTTTTTCAGCTGTTCTGGTGGCATTTATGGTGCCGGGGATCGGGCGCTCACGAAAGAGTGTCAGCGAAACTCGCGGAGCCAACTGGAAGTCCATATATGTGGTTAAATACCTTTACAATTAGTGACACAGGATGAGAGAACAAGACGTATAATGCATGAGGAGGAGGCTTGAGGAGAAGGAACATCCTCTAATGGCTTCCTTTATATAGGCAGCTTCTGACCCAGCTTCTTAAAGTGACAATAACTCTGCTGCCTCATTCTATTGCATCAGCTTCCGGTTGCCTCTGCTTACAACTTCTCATCAGTTTACAGTTATTAGTGTATGGGATTAGTGGTAGTGTATACAGCAGGGCTGTCAAACTGGATTTCTTCGACGGCCGGATCAGTATTGTAGTTCTCCTCTGCAGGCCGGCCAGGGGAGGGGAGATGGGATGGACACCTCCTGCAGCACTCTGCTGGCCAAAATGGGGCACTTGGGGCTGTATTACCCCTGCACCCCATTTTGGCCAGCAGGGTGCTGCAGGAGGCCATCCAGCTGGAAAACAGGATGTTGGAGACCACATGCAGGGCCCCCATGCTCCAATTTGGCTGCCTGAGGCACTGTGGGCTGGTCCTTTGCTATTTCCGGCTGGACCACAGGCCAGGTTTAAGCACCATGTGGACCTGTTCTGGCCCAGGGGCCTTGAATTTGATATCCCTGGTATACAGGATAAGAATTTTTCCATAGAACAGGGTAAGCAACTTTGTCTTTGAGACCATCAGGGGATCTCAGGGCTCTTCCAAGCCAGAATGGGACAACTCACCTCACATTCTTTCTAGTGTTGCAGTGTTGCAGATACTAATAAATCAGCTAATTTATTTAATAATAATAAATTAGGGCATCCGTCGGAACCCTGACAGCTGGACAATTTCAGTTAAGAATCACTTTTACCTTCCCAATAATTCTTTAACATCTATGTTAACATCTTTAACATCTAAGGTATTTTGTTCAAGACACAAAATATCTCTTTATGCTAGGTATATTTATTTATTCCTTGGACAGAGCAATTGTCACCCTCTCTATGAAAACTACATTAAGATAGGAATTTCTGTTTAACAGGAGCTTAAAAGTAGAAACTTGTTTTAAACCACAATTTAATTATTTTTTATGAAAATTTTCTTCTTTAATCAGCTTCTGAAAAACTGAGGAAAAGGCTTATAGTCTTATTCCTGTTATGCATAAGATCATTTACTTGTACAGATAAAAGATATACACATATCATTTTATATTTTTTCAATTATTGTTGTATTTTGTCAAAATTCATTTTACATTAAAGGAAAAAAAATCCCGAAGCTGTATTAATGTCATGTTGGAAGAAATGTCCATCTGGGTTCAGTTCCAAGTGCGGCAGAAAGACACTGGAAACATGGAGGCTGCTTGGAAGGATGGTTTAATGGTGAAGCAGAACCACCAAGCATGTGTGATTCTGGGTAGCTGACCACATGGACCACATGGAGTGGAGAGATATTTATAGCCTCTCTTGGGCTTTGAACTTGAGCTTCCTGTTCCTGTGGCAAGGGCATGTATTCTATTGGCTGTTGTACGGATCATGTGCAAATCCTAGGAGTTTGTCTGAGGTAAGTTTGGTTGAACCTTGCTGAGTGATGCAATGAAGGGGCTTGGTTGTGACATATGGTGACCTTTGCTGATAGATAATCCTCTTATGTCCTGGAGGGTCATGTTTTAATCCCATCACCCTGGAGCTGGAGACTTTTTGTCTTGTAGATAGGCTGGCCCAATCTTTCTCAATGGGCACCAAATATCTGCTGGGGGCAGGGAGCTGCAATCAGTTGATCTTTGTCCTTAAAAACATGTTTCTCCTTTTCTCATCCAGGGAAATATAATATTCTGCCTTTTTAAATATTCCTCAAAATATTTTATTCTTCTAGGAGGGGTGGGTGCTAACTTTCTTCACTCATATATTAAATTTCATGAACAGGTGCAATTTTGCACACAACGTACCAATTTAAACTTTCATGAACATATATAGTTTTGATTATAGCTTACCCAACACACATTTTTGTGCTATAGCAGGCTTTGTAAATCACGCCCTTTCACCTGAAAAAATACCTGGAACAGCTCTCACAATCCTTTCTAGCACATCACTTTCTCTTTGTTTACAATCCTCCAGTTTGAAGATCAGCAACTGTGTTTACTGTTCAGGATTCTAAAGAAGCTTACTCTTCAAATTATAGAGAGGGGCAAAGAAGCTGTAAATAGATAAGTGGAATTCATCTGGCCAGTATTTCCTGTCCCCCCCCCCAATGATTAAGGCTTAATAATAGGAAAATGGTATTCTACTACTTTCAATTATATCAAGTGAAGAAGTAGAATTGCCAAATGAAATACAGTCTAAACTCCATTTCAGAAACCAGTGTATCTTATATATTAGGATAGCTATTGGTGCACTCGGGACGCAGTGGCTCAGTGGCTAAAATGCTGAGTTTGTCGATCGAAAGGTTGGCAGCTCAGCGGTTCGAATCCCTAGTACCGCGTAATGGGGTAAGCTCCCGTTACTTGTCCCAGCTTCTGCCAACCTAGCAGTTCGAAAGCACGTAAAATATGCAAGTAGAAAAATAGGGACCATCTTTAGTGGGAAGGTAACAACGTTCCATGCGCCTTTGGCATTTAGTCATGCTGGCCACATGACCATAGAGACATTTTTGGACAGCGCTGGCTCTTCGGCTTTGAAACAGAGATGAGCACCACCCCCTAGAGTCGGGAATGACTAGCACATATGTGCGAGGGGAACCTTTACTTTTACCTTTATTGGTGCCCTGCAGAATAAGGGCAGCAAAAGAATAAAATGTTTCTTTTAAAGAAATGGCAAATAAAATCCAATAAAGGAACAATAGATTTTCATAAAGTGTGCACATCCTAATTCCAGAGTCTTCAATGCAGCAGTGTAAATGTCTCTGGATATCATCTGACAATTTTTGTTTGGTGACCACCAATCCCTGTCAGTTCACTTGGCAGCCATAGTGCTTACACATAGTGCACTCACAATTCCAAATTATCACTAGCCAGAAAGGTTGGAGAGACACCTGTCCTAATTTACATGCATAAAAACATAATCACTTTAATTGAAATAGAAGTGGGAAATGTATTCAGGTGATCAGAGTGCTAGCTCAAGAAATCTCAGAAAAAATTTTCTGATCATATTGGTGGTGAAACAGATGTGAAGTCTAATTTGAGATTTAATTTTAAAGGTATTCTACATAGGGCACAGCAGGTAAACTTGGGCTTGATAGATTAGAGGCTGAAATGTGCTTTTCTGGCCTTGGACTCTCTAACTTTAATGTAGAAATGTCATCAACTATTTTCCAAAGATAAATATTTGCCAGTTACTTCAGTGTTACTCTTTGACTACTTACAAGGTTCACTACAAATAAAGGTCCTTCCAAATTGACATTTTTATTTTTCTTCCAACATGGGGAAGCGTATCCCATTTTACATTTTACTGGCCTTGATTCCTGCTCTTGTAATTTCAGATATTTTGATAAACCCGCTGAGAAACATTAAGGTATGTAGCTAAATATATGAAGTCACCTACTTATTTCCTCAGAATTTTTTAGCTTTAAGCAACAACTACAAATCCACTATCTTGATCCTTCAAGACGTCTTCAACCTTCAACCAGTACGCTTAATTTGGCTGAAATTCTAAAGTTCATGGAAACTGGTTGCCTATGAAATTTTGTGCCCTGAGCTGCCTGGCTCAGATGTGCTGCATTTGAATATGAAGCAGACAAAGTTATGCTAACTTATGACAATAATAAAAATTTGATTTGAAGCCAGTAAGGTGCTTTGGTCCCTCACTATGCCTGTCAGCAACTCCCTGAGTGCTGATAGGTATCCTAAGAGGGACTGTGTTGGATCCAAATTTGATTTAGCATCTTTAGATTCATATGCTGTACATCATGTTGCATATTTCAACATTTTTTGGGGGAGAACACTGACTTGAGAAAGAACGAATCAGGTAAAGGAAGGAGTACTTGCATCTATGTGTGTATGATCGTGGGGTGTTTGAAAGGGATACATGGTGGTACGTACATACATACATACATACATACATACATACATACATGAAAAAGCTATCAATCACACATGGGTTTATACCTAACTTACCTAAAGTTGAACTGAGGCAGCTCCATAGACATGGGAAGAATATGAAATCAGCCTAGTACTCAGTGCCTCTGAGGAATGCTAGAAAAACTCTATAAGGTAAAGGTATTTATTCTAGTTAGTTGGTAATTTATGGTATATTTTCCAGATGTTTGTTATTTTCAGTTCATGTAATCAATGTTTCCAAACTAGACAGGTTGGTAAGCTGGTGGGGCTTTGTTTGTTATGAACCCAGCCAAGGTTATGCCTGCTGATTATTCAGACTTCATTTTATGGAAGCTCTCATTTATTGTGATGCCCTCACTTAAAATGAGGAGAAATGTGGAATAACATACAACCACTATGCAGCATTTTTGGTAAGATACAGCATCTGTTGTTTGGCAGTAATTAATCTTTTTTTCACTCTTTATTTGTAGAAGAGAAGTGCTACTGATGTGGTAAGTAACCTTTCATTTAGAATGCTGATCATTAAGTTTAGATGGCACATACGAAATACAAATATTTTATATTAGTTATATGTATCTTCATTGCTGGGCTTAAAGAAATCATCAGGTCGAAATAAACTTTGAAAAAAGTTTATTTCTTCAAAAATCAGTCCTCTTGTGTTCAGGGATGTTTTAATTCTAAGCAAACGGCATATTTCATTCACTCTTGCAAATTACCCATCACATGCAAGTGTGCAAAGGCATCATCACTCACTTTTATGAAGGAGACTACCTCATGCATGGATTCAGAGGTTAACAAATATCTGTTTGCGTTCCCTTCATGGAAAGAAAGTAAAATTTCTTAAAAATACAATACAAGACTTTGTCTGTGAGGATCAGAGATAAAAATCTGACCCACAATTTCCCCCATTATATAGTCCATTATATAGCTCTCTAGATGTGGCCTTTGGATTTCATTTTAAAAAAATAACAGGAATGGAACAAGAAAATGATTGGGGTCAGTTGCAATTTAATTAACACTTTGTAAGTAAATAAAACATTAATCAAATGTAATTAGCATTAAAATAAATACTACGTATGTAACATGAGGTATAGAAAGATCCTTGTACTATCTCAAACAAAAGTGTTTAAAATGAAGATAATATATTAGCAGCACATTTCTGTATAACCATGTGACTTTCTATTCTCTAGCACACCCATGCCATAGAAATCTACTGGGTGAAAATAGACTGCAGTGTTACTTCCAGATTTTCCCGTAATGTCATCACTAGTCGAGCTGTAAATCGTGCCAATGTGTCCAAGGAAGCTCAGTTTGATGTGGAGCTCCCCAAAACAGCCTTTATTTCCAACTTTACCTTGTATGTACATTATTTTCTTATTTTTATATGCTTTGGAGATCAGTCTAGCAATAATTAAGCCATTCAGATACTGTTAACAGAATAACTACCAGAATTATAGAGTTACAGAGGATGTTGTAGCCACCTAATCCAATTATGTGCTCAAAATCCAAAATCTAAAACTAAGGCCTCCCTCATAACCTCTCCGTTCTCTAGTCTCTTTGTATTACCTCTCAAATATCTCCTTTACTTGCTAAACTGAAGCAAAATAACGCACGTATATTCAGATATCTGATGTCTCCTTCAATAGGACAATTGATGGTGTCACTTATCCTGGAATCATAAAGGAAAAAGAAGCTGCCCAAAAGCAGTATCAACAAGCAGTTTCAAGGGGCCAGACTGCAGGGCTTGTGAAGTAAGTATGTGAGGCCAAACCAAATCTGTTTCCTTATTTCATTTCCTGTTCTAAGTATTTATTCAATAAACAGATGCTAAATAAATGAACAAAGTGCAAATGAAAGTATTAAATGGTGGGCTATAGGAGCATGAGGAAATGTGATCATCGCTTGAATCTTATGAACCTTACTTTGTTTAACATGTGAAGAGCTGCTGGAAGAAAAACAGAGAAATTCAGTGTTTCGGTCAATATTGCGTCATCCAGCAAAGTTACTTTTCAATTGACTTATGAAGAACTCTTGAAGAGAAAGTTTGGAAAATATGAAATATTTATCAAAGTCAATCCAAAACAGCTTGTGAATAAATTTGAGGTATGATCAAATGTATTGTTGCTTTATCTTCTAGTAGTTTTTGGAAAAGTTTGTGAATAATGCTCAAAAATATTAATTTAGAAACAAATGTAAAAATAACTATGAAATTAATTATTTTTAATGCTTTTTACAGTTTACATTACTGGTCTATCTGATTTTTTTCTCAGTCTTTCTAATGTCAACATAATTTTAAATCAATGTTACAGATAGAAGCAAACATCTTTGAGCCTCAAGGCATCAGTGAACTTGACGTTGAAGGGACATTCCTCAACAACGAACTGCTACCAGTTGTGAAAAAGTCTTTTTCAGGAAAAAAGGTATGCCTAGTAATAGAATCTTGAAGGGTGATTCATACACAGGTAATCCTTGCCTAATTTCAGCAGGATGGCAATGGGGACTGCCAGGATTTTTGTCACTAAGCGTATTGTGTAGTAGTGGGAATCCCAGTCCCAATTACCATTGTTAATAGAGGATTTTTTATTTTTTTTTTACTATAATGGAGGATTAACTATAATGAGTTGGAAGCATGAGTATCTGCCATGATCATGGTCATCACCTTTGCTGCACATACCCCTGGTTATAAGTAAGTACAAAAAAGGCCAATTGGATTCACAAGCATTAAGCGAAAATTATAGTGAAAATTACAGCTTTGTGACACCATCCAGAAGTAAAGAAAAGAAAGAATGACCTCTTGAATATATTTCTTAAAAGCAATCTGTTTGCTTCACGGAACACAGCTGACAAGGTTTTTTGTCCCCAGTCAGGGTTCAAAGTGAGACATGGCACAGGGCAACCACAATCAAAGATGCAGGCACAGAATTATTTGAGGATACTTCACAAAAGTGTGTTTCACCGCTGGTACAAAGATTCTATTGTAATGGCCTTTGTTTCTGCTTATGGCATCACTTCTATTTCTTCTTTATTACGACGGTTCAATAATTTCTTCTTGCTATGAAAGCTGCACTATTGCTTTTTATCTTGGCATTTCTAAATGAAATCTCAATATTCAGTCCTTGTCATCATCAAAATATGCCCCAGTGTATATTTTAGTAGAATGCTGGGCATTATATATCTCTTCTGTCTATTTAATATCTTCATATCTTAAGCATATTTCATTGCAGAGTGAAGAGAATAGTTATATGAAGTTTTAAATATATACATACACAGTGGTGGGATTCTGCCAGTTCTAGGGGGTTCGGCCGAACCCTTTGTTAAATTGCTGGCTTGCCCCGCCCCTTGCCCCGCCCCTCCGCACTACTATTTATTGCCAATAAATGGGGCGAGCGAGCCAGGAATTTAACAAACGGTTCGGTGTTTTTTTGTAATTTATTTGCCCCGCAGCACACCGAACCATTTTTTAAATTGCTGGCTCGCCCATCCCTCACCCCGCCCCGCCTCCCACCTGCGCGGCGCCAGCCTACCCTAGCCAGGGGTAGGCAATTGTGGCTCTTTTACAACCTGTGGACTTCAACTTCCAGAATTCCTGAGACAGCTTGGCTGTCTCAGGAATTCTGGGAGTTGAAGGCCACAGGTTGTAAAAGAGCCACAATTGCCCACCCCTTCTCTAGCCTGAGTTCCGCTGCCTGGGATCCACGTGGGCTGCCGGACAGGCTCTGGTGGCTGCAGCGGCTCTGGTGGCGATGGCGTCTGGGCAGATCCAAAGGTGAAAGTGCAGGAGGTGCCGCGTAGCGCAGGTGCATCTTTGCAAAGCGGCCTCACGGCCAGCACCTCCTTTCCCCAGCCGGGGCTGCTGCACCTACGCCGCCAGGGAACCAGCGGAGGGAGTGGGGAGGGTGGGCGTGGGGGAGGGTCCTATCCAACTGAGCTTTTGCAAAACAGGCGCGAGTTGGGGATTCTGATGCTCGACGTGCGTTTTGTGTGGCTCGCGGGGAGAGGGTGGGTGGGCGGGAATCTGAGTCTGTGGATTGGCTTGTTTGGGGTGGGGGGGCCAGGATCTCCGATGACTGGGACTTCTAGGGGATGCTCCTGGCTTTGCAGCGGAGGGGTCTTTAAACCTGCCTTATCTGCGTTCCTTTTCTTTGCAAAGATTCCCCCCCCTCCCAAAAAAAGGATGGGTTGCCCAAACGTTTGTGCTACTGGCTTCCCTGCCTGTCTTGGCTCTGTCAGGGTTGGGTCTCTCTCGCCTGGGGAGAGGGTCTCTTGGATATGTATGAGTGTGTTGTGTTAGGCTAGGCAGGGAGGTGTGATTCACATGGTTGTTAACTTAAGTGAATCCGGCTCCCCCCCATTGACTTTGCCTGTTGGAAAGGCTTCCCCCACCCCACCTCTCATCACCATCTCAGCCCTTCTGCCCTGCCTTAACCTTAAACCAAGCTGCATTTCCTCCGAAATCCAGTCTGTTTCCTCGCTGGGAGAGACTTTCCTGCCCCTGCCACTCAATTTTCAAGAGTTGTTTGTTTAGAGACAGGAAACCTTCCAAGGTTTATGGTGGGGGGAGGTTTGAGCTGTGGAATATCTCACTGCCATACATGTGTGTCCCCCCCCCTCGCCCTTTTTTGCCTTGAAAAGGCAGAAGCTTGAAGAGGTTGCAGGAAAAAAATGCTCTTAGAAGCTTCTGAGAATCAGGCAACTCAGCTTAGATCGTCAGAGGTTTTTAAAGGGATTTTTTGAAGAGGTTATAGGAAAAAAAATCGCCTTAAAAGCTTCTGGCGATCCCAGCAGATTTGCCTGATTGTCAGAAGCTTCTAAAAGCATTGTTTTCTGCAACCTCTTAAGGTTGTAGAAAAAATGCTTTTAAAAGTAAAAGTTAAAAAAAAACTGGCCATGCCCACCCAGTCACATTACCCACAGAACCGGTAGTAAATGGACTACTTAGAGGGCTGAAAAAGTTATTTTTGACCGGTCCTCGCACTTTTGACCAGTCCTTGAACTTACGACTGTCCTCACATTTTACATTTTGCGCCCTATCTTGTCACCGTGGTGAAGAGAAGTAGTGGTGAAATGACTGACACGGTTGTTAAGAATGCACAACGGGCATAAATGTGAGGATGGTCATAAGTGTGAGGACTGGTCAAAAGTGCGAGGACCAGTCAGAAAGGACTTTTTTCAGCCCTCTGACTAGTCCCTATGCACATAGCCACGCCCACCTGGTCACATGACCAGCTAGCCACCCCCACTCAGTCACATGATCGCCAAGCCACACCCCCAACTAAGCCACGCTCACAGAACCTGTTGTTAAAAAAATTGAATCCCACCACTGTACATACACCTTGAATTCCCAAACATAATGTGCTTCACATTGGTTTGGTCTTATACCACCTTTCATCTTTGATTCATCTTTGTCTTTTATGGGTAGATTGTACTGGAAGTTGCAAACATTATTATTTCTTCCCAATATTACTTTGTTAGTCCATTATGGAGAATCATGCTTCTGGTCATTTGCATTAGATTCTGGTTTTCGTCTCTGCCACATTTATTGTTGTGGGATGTTGGGAACTATTTTTTCATGTTTTATCCTTTGTCCTTTTGGCTACTTCTCAAATTCCTTTCCTGTGTTTTTAATCCCACTATTAAGTGTGCAGTGTCTTAGGCTTTCTTCCAGATACATTATCCACTCTTGCAAAAAATATTCTGTTTATTTTTCTAGGACTCTTTTGTTCTTTAAGAAAGTAAATGAAAACTTTTCAAAAGTGATAATCATTAGGTAATGAGAATTTTACCCTACATTTTAGCTTTCCAAGTTCCTGAAAAGAATTCCTATGAACAGATAATGCATTTGGAAGTTTAAGCCATTAGCTTAATGACTTAAATGTAATGTAGTTACATTGTTTAATGTAGCATCATAGACACGAGAGAAGTCATGCTGCAGTACTGAATAGCTTCTGAAGTTTACACTACATTTCTTTTCCCAGTATAATCTAGTAAAAGAGCACTTGCTTTAATAGAAAGGTGACCCATGACTAGATGTCTATAGAGATTCTCAGTCATCAGGTCATGATTGTCCCAAAGATGCTTTTCAAAAGGCAACTGGACTTTGGGTTTTTTTTGAAGATGTTTCGCTTCTCATCCAAGAAGCGAAACGTTTTCAAGGAAAAAACATCTCAAAGGAGAAACAAAGTCCAGTTGCCTTTTGAAAAAGCATCTTTGGGTGACCCATGACTGTTTTCTTGCTTCTTTCCCATTTCTGTTGCTCTTGGTTCTTCCAGAATGTGAAGCACCACAGTAGTATTTTTATCAGAAAGAAGACTTTTCTATAGTTTCCATCATTTAGCAGTTTAATCGAGTCAGACCACTTTGCTGGATTGCTCGTGGCCTTTCTGCTTGCTTTGCAGACTGACAAACCCTTTTTCTTCCTAAACATAAATTACTCTCTGCTCCTGGCCAATACAACCCTCTTGGGGAGGGAGGGGAGTGGATAAGCAGTATATGCTCAGTGCAGAATCATATGCAATGATGAGGTTAGTGGCTTCCAAATGGTGGGTAATAATCAGACAGTCAAAGCCCTCCTCCATTTGACTTGGTTTTCCAGAAAGAAATCTGGAAGTTAGTATCAAAGAAAACCCAACAGACTCTTTATTGCAGAACTTAAACAATGCCTAAAAGCATAGAACTGGTATCCAGCATCCAGCATTATGGAAAAAGTAATAAATAAATTCAACGAAGAAGCAGGAAATAAAAGTAATAAATATCATCATGTAAATACGACAAATGAATGAATGAAATAATCCTGACCATGTAAGTGTAGCTAGGAAGATGCAATGCAGAATAAGATATGCAGAGTAAGGTTTTTTTAAAACAAGAAAAGGAGGTAAAAATGCAATGTTCCATTGCTAGCCTTTTTTTTTTTTTTTTTGCATTTATTGTTCCTACACCTGCAGCTGATGCAGGCAATTTTGGATCTTCCAACATTAAATAATTCAAAATATACCACAACTGAATTTCAATAGCAACTCATGGTTATCAGGAGTTGTTGACCCCATTCTAAATATTTCTTTAAATAACTCCCAAGGCTTCCTCAGAAATTCTACATTGATAAAGATTGATAAAGCATGTTTGGAAGTAATCTTTGAATATAAACTGCAGAAAATACTGTATACTAAGAAGTCTAAGATGAAGAATTCTCCTTTCTTAAGGGCCATGTATCATTCAGTCCTACTATTGAACAACAACGAACCTGTGACAATTGTACAACTACGCTGCTACAAGGAGATTTTGTCATCAAGTATGATGTGAACAGAGATTCTCCTAATAATTTACAGGTAACTCTAGTTGTTTGACACTTGAATTAATATACCAGCACAAAAACAAATCCAAACAAAAAATCCCTACTACAAATAAATATTATCTTTATCAATATTTTTTAGGTAGTAAATGGATACTTTGTACACTTTTTTGCACCAAAAATCCTTGAACGTTTACCTAAGAATGTTGCCTTTGTAATCGATGTCAGTGGTTCCATGTATGGACAGAAAATTCGGCAAGTAAGTGAACAACACAAATTCTTGTAATATCACTAGAAGGATGATAAATTGTACAGCAGATGAAATCAGATCCTACAATCTTTTATTCCAAATTATTTCCGCCTTGCAAGATTTACTCATGTAGTAAAATATGTATTACTGTAATTTTGAAAGTATTTAATAATGTAATTGAAACCTACCGCTTCATCCTAAAACTTTCAGCTAAATTTTCTTTTGGATATGTTGGTCATATATTTACTTAGCTCCTAAGTCATATAGAATATCTTTTCAGGTGGATCCTCAGTAAATAATACACTTGAGCATTGTAATGAGATGTGGGACATTGGCAAGTTTGACCATTACATTGCCAACTAGGGTGAGGACTGAAAAAGGTGAAGCTGAATATGGAAGGATCTTCTTTGAGGAAGAAGTTTAACTTTGAAATGATCAGTCTGCACGTGAGCCATGAACAAATCTGTTCATGAACTATATAAGGAGTCAGCAAATTATTGAAAATAATTTAGATAAAATAGATAAATAGATAAAATCTAAAATAATAATTTTTAAAAGACTAAAATGTTACGAAATTATCATTTATTTAAAAAACAGATATCTCTCTAATAAGATTTCATATTAACTCCAATCCTACAATTTCATTGGAGAAAGGCAAAATTTCATATAAATCAGAAAAGATTTAGTCAATTTTTGTTTATGTGAATTACATATTAAATTTAATATTGATGATTCAGGATGGTAGTGTGGAGCCTGATTGCTGCATAAAATTATTTATTTTTTTAACATGGTTAAGACAAGGAAGTATTGCTTTAGTGTGGAGATCTACCTTTTGCAAAAAGAAGATTGATCCCCCCCCACCTCATAAATATTTGTCTTTAAAGGATGTAGCCTTGGGTTAAACAATTGGAGACCTTGAGCAAACAAATATAAAAAGATCTATCAGCAGCATATAACGTGGGTGACAATAGCAAGACATGAGCATAACATCAGGACAAGAATCTGATAGCTTCTATCATATAACATTTTTCCTTACCATCCAAATATTTAAGGAGTCAAACTCCAACCAAACAAAATATTGGCTACTGCAAGTAGGGATCTACATGATCTAACTAATCTAACTAACTAAGTAGAAAACTGACTAATGAATAGTAACTGGGGAGAAAAGATCACAGCAATTTAATGTGGTGATATAAAGAGCCCACTTACTTGAAAGGAAAGCAGGGTGAAATAACCTCTGGAATAGTCAGATTGCCTTATGGAGCAGAAGTCCTTTGTTAAGAGTTGAGAGATCCTTCAAATACAAAAGCGTTTGTTCCATTTTATTAGATATTTTTTTAAAATAATTCCAGGCAAGGGAAGCCTTGACAAAAATAGTGGAAGACTTAAAAGAAGAAGATCACTTCAATATCATCCTGTTTGGAAGTTCAGTTTCAACATGGAAAGATGACTTAATTCAAGCTACTCCAGAGAATGTGAATCAATCAAAGGAATTTATTAGCCACATACAAGATTCAGGAGGTAAGTAAATGGGGAAAAAAAGTTTGAGTAAAATTAAACTGATATATTAGAATAAAATAAAATGGCTATATGAAGAAATAAGATGAAATTAAACATTACAATGAAAAGATTTGAATCTCTGTTTTAGTATGCTGAAAAAAAAATGAACTCCTGCTTTTATATTGTAGCAACAGATCTTAATGGTGGTTTACTGACTGGCATTGACATGCTGAATAAAGCTCATGAAACAAAATCTGTACCTGAAAGAAGTGCCTCTTTAGTTATCATGTTAACTGATGGGGATCCTACTGCTGGTAAGTAGCTGAATGACTGTTGAATATGGGGATAAGACTGCTATTCGGTCTCCTTGTTTTCCCATAGTCTTCTCCATTCTATATACCACAACCCCTGGTGATCATGTGTCATCTTTATACCTTTGAGCTGTTACAGAGGACTGGGAAGGAAGGCAGTTTTTGGTCTTGCATCTCACAAAAGTATCTAAACATGTTTTTCAGCCTTGTGAGATATGGGAGCATCTATGGAGATTCCCAGTCATCCAGGTCAGGGTTGTCCCAAAAGTGCTTTTTCAAAAGGCAGCTGGATTGTTTTCAATGGTGGGTTTTAAAATTTTTTAACTACCGGTTTGGTGAGTGTGGCTAGGTGGGGGGGTATGACTGATTGGGTGTGGCCAACGTGACATCACTCATGCACTCAGTCACATGACCCCCCCAAACTATGCCCACTCAAAGGGTGGCTAAAATTTTTGGGACTTTTTGAAACTTTTTTTTTGACACTCCAGTTCCATATCCAGGTCGGGATGCATGGGATGGCGGTGGTCATCTCAGCTTTCCCTCAATTGCCCTTTCTGGGCGAAAAGTGCCCCTTCTTGCCTCTGATGGGCCTTCCTCGTGGTTGCAGCCGAAGCAACCCACTCCGCCAGCTCAGGGCAGCGGACTCAGCTGCAGCCCAAATGAGCCAAGGAACTGTGGGGAGCCTCCCATATGTTGCACCCTCTCCCAGCTTATCCCCAATGCCTTTGCACTGTTTTTGGGCACCCAGCTTACTGGGCCGCCCCCATCCCTGTCGCGGCTGCAACGGCAGTGGCTTCAGGAGACACTGGAGGCACAGAGGCGCGGGCGAAGGCTGGGAGGGGAATGCAACACAAGGGAGGCTCCCTGCAGTTCCTCAGCTCATCTGGGCTGTAGCTGATTGAGGTGCTTTAGCAGCCATAAGCTGCACTTTCCTCGAAGTCTCACAGAGAGAAGCACCTGTTTCCCTGTGCTGCCCACAGTGCTTATAGGAAAGCACGGCTCATGGCTGCTACCAGGCTGCCCCATGGCTCCAAAAGCAGCAGCTTCGGGAGATGCTGGTGGCACGGAGGTGCGGGCAAAGGCTGAGAGGGGGTGCAACATCTGGGGGGGTGAGTCCGTTCCCCTTTGCCTCCCCACACTTGTTTACCCATCCCAGAGAGCTTGAGCTCCTTCCGACCCAGCCACCTTCCTTGCCGGCGTCATTCCTGAGCGAACTCTTCTGTCCTAGGCTGTTGTGAAGAAGCGGCAGCTCTGGGTGCGCCATGCAGCTTCGTTCTCTTTGAGAGCCACTTTGCACCTTGTTTGCAAAGCCGGCAGCTTTGGTGGGCTCCTTCCCTCATTGGTTTGTTTTCTTTTATCTTGTCTAGGTAACTTTTTCATTAAAGGTTGCTCTGCGCCTTTTGATCTTTTTCGGGCATGGAGAAAAGCGACCCTGAGAGCTTTTTAAATATTCCTACAATGTATGGAATGACAACATTGTTTTTGTTGTTGTTGTTGTTGTTGTTGTTCTCTTCTTTGTGTGTTATGGAGTAGCTCCTGGTGGGTCTTTTTTTTGGATTTGATGAAGACCCAGTTGGGTTGGCCACAAGATCTGAGGGCTTTCTTGATGTGTTTTAGTTCTTTTTTTCCATATTTGTTCAACCCAGTGGTGTAGGGTTCAGATCACTCCTATTTTGTACTCCAGTGGGTAGTGAAAATCAAAATGTAAATACTGATCTCTGTGTGTGGGTTTTCTGTAAACTTCAATGTTACGACTTCTGTCTTCCTTAATGTGTACTGCACAGTACAGGAAGGCCAAATTGTTTTCCTTAACATCTTCCCAATGTGGGACACACTTACTAGCCAGCTAGAATCAGGGGTCTTCCAAGAGATTTCTTTCAGCAGAAATAGATCTAGTTGTTCCACTTCCAGCATGTATGAAGAACTTGTCTATTCCCACCCTACCTTAAAAGACTGAAAATTATTGATTCCTTGTGAGAGACATTGCAGAAAATCTTGGAAAAAGCTCCCAGAATGACCGCTAATTTCTTGAAATTGCTGTAAATTAATTCTCTGTCAACAGTTTCAGAGTATTTTGGATTGAAATGAATGAATGAATGAAAAAATGAATCAAAATTTGTATCTGAAAGAAGTGCCTCTTTAGTTATTCTGTTAGCTGATGGGGAGGCCAGTGTAGGTAACTAACTGAATGACCAATGAATATGGGAATAAAGATTGCTATTCAGTCTCCTTGTTTCCATATAGTCTTCTCCATACTATATACCACAAACTCTGGTGATCATGTGTCATCTTTAAACCTTTGTGCTGTTACAGAAGATTGGAAAGAAGATGATTTATGTTCTTGCATCTCACCAGAGTATCCAAACCTTTTTCTCAGCTTTGTGAGATGTGGGAGGCACTTACTGGCCAGTTAGAATCATGAACTTCCAAGAAGTTTCTTTCAGCAGAAATAGATCTAGTTCTACTTCCAGTATCTATGAAGAACATATCTGTGTGCTACTTGGCAGTTCCCTTCCTACCTCAGAAGACTGAAAATTAATATTCATTGTGAGAGGCATTACAGGAGTCCTGGGAGAAGCTCCCAGAAATGCTCCTAAATGACTGCTAAACTTCTGAAGCTGCTGTTGATTGATTGTCTATCACCAGTTTCAGAGTATTTTGAAATGGAGGGGGGGCTATAATACAATACATCTAATAAAAAACAACAACTTTTCCCATGGAAAAGGCAGTGAGGAAGGAAAAAGGAATCAGATTACAACATTACTCACTCTCTTCCAACATATTAGGAGGAGAGTTCAGAGCTGAAAGTTAGGAAGTTGTAGAGCCTTGTATTAAAGTTACAGGATTGCTCTGCCCCAAAAGGTTTTCCCCACAAAGATGTTTCAGATAATTATACTATTTAACCATGTTTTATGATCCTTTCCATGCAGGTGTAACAAATCTCGGGCAGATTCAAGAAAATGCTAAGAATGCAACTAAAGGAAGATATCCCATATACAATCTTGGGTTTGGTTATGATGTTGACTATGCGTTTTTAGAGAGAATAGCAACAGAAAACAATGGTGTGGCTCGCCGCATCTTTGAAGACTCAGATGCAGCTTTACAACTACAGGTAGAAGAATAAGCATATGAAAGGTTGATATTTATGTTTATGATGAAATATTTCTGTGTCAGAGAAAGGACCTAATATGATGACAAGAATACCCTTGATTGGATTCAGACATGAGGAAAAAACACATGTGTTCTCCTCTCTTCCCATTTATCCCAATTTCCTATGTTTACCAACTAAAAACTGTAGGAATTATACCCCAGATTAAGTTTGGTAGTAGCTTCTTGGTCATAAAGAATCCCCGACCTCCGAACCTTCCGCCGGGCCTTGAAGACCTGGCTCTTCCAACGGGCGGGCCTGGGTTGACTCTAAACTGATTTTGTAGCTTTTTAAATTCCTAAATCTTAAATTTGAACTTGTATTCCAACGTTTAACCTTATTTTTTGGATATTCTGCTTTAATTTGTCTTTTAACTTTTGTATTTTCTGTTCTTAGTGTTGTGAGTTGCCCTGAGTCCTTCAGGAGAAGGGCAGCATACAAACCCAATAAATAAATAAATAAATAAATAAATAAATAAATAAATAAATAAATAAAGCATGGTGGTCTAAAGTTGAAGACACTCACCTCCCACTTGGAAGGTTGAGAGTTCAATCCTAGGTAGTGGCAGATGTTTCTCGCCCAAAGAAAAATATCTGCCTCAAACTCCACTTAGGCATCAGGAAGGGCATCCAGCCAGTAAATGCTCAGCTCTACCCAGTCTTCCTGACTCTACTCTGAATTAAAGGACTACTGGGTCATAAAAAGAAAACAATATTCATTCTACAACAAAAGAAGCAGTTTGTGCATCATGGCTACCAAAAGTTAGAAATTTGTATCATATCCTCTCACTGATACAAGCTAGCATTCTGCTCCACATTGTTCAGAGGTGTGCCTTTGGCTGAATCCTTAGCCCAGAACACATTGAAAGACAAAATTAAGTGAACATAATTCAGCTTTCTCCAACCTGATGCCTACAATATATATTATAATATTATATATTATTCCTGCCTCCCTTGCTTCACTTCCCAAGAGGTCTTGGTTAGACAAGATAAACATAACTGCTAGATTTTTCATTCTATCTGATAAATTTATTTTTTTATCAGAGAAAGATCACTTTTCAGTTACAAGAGGCCATGAAGGAAATAATATCTCATCCCATCCTCAAGGAGAGGTGTATAGCATCCAAAAGTAACCAAGAGAGATTAGCATATATGTCCCTCCCACATAGTGGTGATCAACTCAGAATATGTTTACATACCATGAAACAGAGAGTAAGAAAATATAGGAATCCATTGTAAGTAATAAGTTTCATCATTCCATCAGTTAATTTTCTAAAGTAGCCCTCTCACTCTACCTAACAGGTAAGGCATCACAGGGACTAACCAGCTGCATCTTTTTCTGTAGTTTTTGGCTAGATCCTGACCCCAGCCACCATTTCCCCTTGTTTCTGGCCTGTTGCAAAAGACTCAGCACAGCCCAGTGGGATGAAACTTTATCCCTTCTCAAGCAACTACAATTAGCTGTGGTGGCGCAGTGGTTAGAATGTAGTACTGCAGGCTACTTCTGCTGACTGCCAACTGCCAGCAGTTTGGCAGTTTGATTCCCATAGGCTCAAGGTTGACTCAGCCTTCCATCCTTCTGAGGTTGGTAAAATAAGGACCCAGATTGTTGGGGGCAATAGGCTGATTCTGCAAACTGCTTAGAGAGGGCTGCAAAGAATTGTGAAGAAGTATATAAGTCTAAGTGCTATTGCTTTTTCATTCCATATCATACTTCATATTTCCCTGGCAAAAATTAATAAAAAGCGAGAGGCTGGTTAAAAAAGCTAGAAAATGTAGTTTGTTTAAACTGAGTCCTATTAAAAATGTTAATTTCTTCCTTTGAAAAAGCTGCTCACATCAGGAAAATTTACCTCATGAGAGCCTACATCAGGGAATATATACTGTATGATGAATGAAAGTAGCCCTTTTTATTTTTTAAAAAAGGGATTGTCTAGCAATCAATGGTTTTGCAAAATAGGAAAAGATGTCCAGGATGGCTTTGGTTAGTAAAAATTGTGAATGAAAAGAATTACACCTTTTTCTGTGATTAAAAAGAATTATAACTCATCTGCAAACTGTTTTATTAACACGAACAGTAAAATAGTCCGAATTTTTGTAATGCACCTGTTTAATGTTATTGCTACATCTAAAGTCACATGGTTAATTCTCCATTTCATGGAGTCCCTTTTTCCATACAAATCCATATCTATACAAAATTGTAGATATCAAAAAAGGACAAGATTTTTAAAGAATCAAGGCTTTCAATGAGAGTTCTATCTTCCAGAGTACTTTTCCAGGATGGTCTAGATTCAGATTACAGAAAAGTACCGTGCCTAAAAAAGCAACCTCTCATTTGCAATATTTTGATTTTGAGAATAATACCCTTTTAGTGTTACAGTTTTTAATAACTCCAATATCTATTTTGTTCCCAGGTTTTTATGATGAAGTAGCCAATCCTTTGCTTACTGAAGTGGAGTTAGACTATAAGGAAAATGCCATCTCAGATTTGACTCAAAATAGTTTTAAACATTATTATGATGGCTCTGAAATAGTTGTGGCTGGACGAATTACAGACAATGACCTGAACAGTATCACAGCAGAAGTAAAAGCTCAAGGAGTAAGTATTTTTGAAGTCCAACATTCCTCAAAATATTACATGAGATTCCAGTTTCTATAACACAAAATATTCACAGTTCCAGAACAATAATTTTCTGAACACTGCTGAGAAAGTAGATACTCCAAGGGAAATCATTAGGTGGTTTACCTGCCTCTATCAATGTTCCAGGAGTCAGAATTACAGTAATCTTGAATATCTTTATTTTGGAGATAGTCTCTATTTATATTGCTTTAGAGACAGGACAGCACCCAGATTACTGGTATATTGGCTAATTATTTCACTTAGTAATTAGCCAAACTGAATTTAAACTGCCAAGCCATATCCAATCCATCCTTCCACATTTAAATATCAGCTTCACTTGTCATAAGACTGACACAAAGCATTTTCAGGCAGTGAGACATCAATATTATCACCAGTTTACATGGCTGAAAGCTATGTGGTCATGTTGAGCCTGGGTGACAAAGAAAACATCATCCACACAACACAAGATATTAGAAGGGGACTAATAGCACTTTTTCCATCTAGCCAATGTTATTCAGATACACAACTTTTTCTGAGTTGCAGCACACATCATCAGATGCATTGAGTGGCTAGGCTGGTGTAAGATATAATTTGAGATTTGGCAAAGAGGTACTTATTTCTTTATTATTAAAAATAGTTTTATAGTGATTCCATAGCAACCCAGCTTGTACAAGATATAAAACCACATTTATGTAGAGTAAAAATATTAAAACCAAAATATAAGTTACTTGCAAGACAGTGCAGGTATCTTCTCAGTTAATAATTGTAATGTGTTAGAAACCCATGGGGTTCATTGAGACCTTTAAAGACTGCCTGAAATATTTTGATACATGCGAGTTCAGCTGTCTGTTGCTCAATGTACATAAATATAGAAATAAATACCTGTATAAAAGTGTACTGCTGAAAAATTATAGTGCAGTTATAAATCCAATCCTTTCCCTTCGTCTAGGCACTAAATGAGGTGACTTATTCTGAACAAGCTGATGTTGAGGAAACAACCAAAGCTTTCAAAGAGCAACAATACATATTTGGAGAATATATTGAGAGATTCTGGGCTTATCTCACCATTCAACAACTTCTAGAAGCACGGTAATGTAAGACTTTTTCAACTTTGTGATTACTCCAGAGACGTCCATGAGGATCGGTAAATCAATCACTTTAAATCACTTTCTTGAGAAAGATTATACTTTAGGGAAAATTAGTTTCATTAATTTCATTCAATAATGCCTGGAATGGACTGGTCTGTTCAGTCATCATTTTTGGGCTGTAGTTAATTTGAACTCTTGGCCCAAGTTAAATTGCTTCAGATAATGCAAGATAATTGTTGCAGGTCTTCTAACTTCACATTAGAGTCTGATAAGTTTAGTTTTAAGTCCCGGTTATCTCTTTCTTCTTTCAGGAGACAAGTCTTTTGTTTCCAAAGTATTCATGAGGCTCATATCCTATTTATTTTATTATTTGGAACAATTTACAATATGTTTTTGCATTACAGGATGGAACAATACTGAATAATTACTATTATCATGGTTAAAACAGTTTCTAAATGTTTCTCCAATGTCCTTGCTTTTAGTGCTGTAGCGCAGGGAGATGAAAAAGAAAAATATTACTGCCAAAGCCCTGGAGTTGTCTCTGAAATATAAGTTTGTGACTCCATTAACATCTATGGTTGTCACAAAGCCAGAAGGCAATAACGTAACAGAAGCAGTTGCTGACAAACCACAGAAGGTACAGATATTGTCATAAGGACATTAGTCTATCTGGCTTTTACTGGTTTGGGGGCAATATTCAAAATATTCACAGTTGAACTAGTCGAGAATATCCTGGAGCAACAGGTAGTATGCTTTCCACTTAGATTGGGATAGGAAAGCATGAGTTTTGTGGTGTGTGTTTTTCAGCAGCATCTTCAAACAGACCAAGGGGGACCAGATTGATGTCAGCAGCATCATGGCATGGCAACACAAGCTCCACCTCTTTTCTACATACATTTTGACATTACATGTATTCCAGGGTGAAATCTAAAAATTTTCGCTACCGGCTCTGTGGGCGTGGCTTGATGGTCAGGTGACTGGGTGGGCGTGGCTTGTTGGTCAGGTGGGCATGGCCAAGTCAACATCACTTCTTTGCCCTTTTTTAACCTACAAAACACAACACAACACAACTGGCTCACCCACAATGTAAAAGCAGCTGTGCTAGACCCAAATAGCCCCTGCAACAAGCAGGAACCTCACACAGCCACAAAAAGCCCAAAAAAACAACTTTCACACTTTACACACACACAACACAACACAACTGGCTCACCCACAATGTAAAAGCAGGGCAAAATGGCCCCTGCAACAAGCAGGAACTCACACAGCCACAAAAAGTCCAAAAAAACAACTTTCACACTTTACACGCACAAAATTCCACATACAGCTTTGTGAGATTTTTTGTGTTTGTGTAGTTACAGTGAAACACTACAGAAACACACAAAATCTCAGAAAGCTGCACAAATATTTTTTTATTTTATTTTTATATAAAAGCAGCTAAATTTAAAACTTCCTAAACTTTAAATGGCTAGGTCTAAAAAAAGAACGACTAAAAAAAAAACCCAATTAACTATTTTTTTAAAGCTCCCAAAGGGGGAAAAAAACTTGCAGGCAGGCAGGCAGGCAGGCAGGCAGGCAAGCCGGCAGAAAGAGCTGCTCACCGATGAGCTTGATTGCAGGCAGGGAGATTCAATTGCTTGCTGATGCAATGGATTGCAGGGATTACAGCAAGCGAAGCAAGGCAGGCGTGCGAAGGTAAGAAAGCTGGAGGCTGTGGGGGAAGGGATTTTTGCTACTGGTTCTCCGTACTGCCCACCACCATCACTACCTACTCGCCCGAGCCAGTCCGAACCGGGAGCATTTCACCCCTGATATATTCCCCAATGGAGAAGAACATGAGAAGAACAATCTCACAATATGGCTTTTGTCATCTTTTGTTCTTATTTTTCACATTTTAAATTAAATATTTTCAAAACTCAATTTAAAAATTAAAAAACAAATAAAAAGTAGAAATGCGATTTTTAGCAATCTCTTGCTATAGCAATGTTTCTCAAACTTAGCATCTTTAAGATGTGTGGGCTTCAAAAGCCAGAATTCCCCAACCTGCTGCTAATATTAAGAAACATGCATTAAAACAAGTCGTTCCAGCCATGGCAACTTTAAGTTCTGTGGACTTCAATGATGGCTTGGGAATTCTGGTAGTTGAAGTCCAGAGATCTGAAAGTGGCCCAGGTTGAACACCCCACTCTAAAACCACAATGGGTTCAACTAAACATATCTACTCACCACACCACAATTGTTCTTTAATTTGGTCCCTTCTTTCTGAAAAGCCTCATAATTTTTGTCCTGTTGTAGATGAAGTTGAAATGAAAGAATTGCAAATTGAAATGTATCATTCCTATGAGATGAAATTTATCTCTGGAAGAATGAAAGGAAATAAAATATTGATGGTACTGCTTTCCTAAATAACTGCATGAAATGAATCAATGGAGGAAGGGGAAGGGAGTGATTTTATGTATAAACTATATTTTGTAATATGAGTAATAATTAGAAAAGACTTTGGGCCAAGCCCTTTTAAAAGGAAGTAGCTGTTTTTAGAAGAAATAAAAATAACTGCCTAGAGACATAATTAACATTGTATGCAGTGCACCCTCCAGTCTATTCTTATTGAGATAGGTCAACTATAATTTTTTGCAATCAAACTCCTTTAGCAAAACAATTAATGTTTTTCTTTCTCTCTCCCTCTCCCTCACCCTCTCTCCCCTCTCCTCCTCTCTATTTACCCTTGGAAATAGCTGAAGGTAAGTTCAGTTCTAATTCTTTCCCTCATATTTAATATTTTGCCATTCCATTGGTCAGGTTTAATGGAGTGTTATTTTAGTTCCCTCTTTTGCTATCTATTTAAGGTGAAATGTGTAGATTTTCACAATGGAATGTAATAATTTACGGTAAATGTACACTGTGCTTTTAAAGAAAGGTGTATGCCATATTTTCCATTTATTAGCTCAGAGCAATTTTCTAATTAATAGGTTTAATTATATAAAATGTAAAGTACTAGCCTAATTTTCTGAAATTTATTGTACAGCTTGGTTGATTATAAGCAAAGTTTCACTTGAATCTTGCCCACCATGGTTGGGCAGATGGGAATTGCCTTATATCCAGGAAGGTCATAGCCACATTTAATTAAAAACAACAACCAAGTATTTAAAGGAATTGTATTACAGACAATGCTGGGAGCAGATTTGGACTGTTTGCTTCAACAGATCCATGGTAAAAGTAAAATCAGCCATAGTTGATCTGGCATTCTGACTTCAGTCTGAAACCTCTGTGTGGGTGTTTCATTGTTTTTGTTTAGCTTTTATAGTTATTTCTTTTCCTTTTTTTCCAAGTTTTTTATTTTATTTTACATATACACATTAATGCATGAACAGTGTGGCACCTGGGTATCATATTTTGGTGCAAATAAGGATAATATCAATCATATTTGTTACATTCATCAAATGTATGTAATTCTAATGTTAATGCACATTTATATTAAGTTATAGTCTTTCATTATTTAATTATTCAATGTTTCAATATATTATTCTAATGCCAATCACAATATTGTTTACACATAAATTATAATTCCATTATTCAATTTCTAATCTTCCCTCTAATTATTGCTTTTATCTCATTATATAAAAATGTGTACATTAATAATCCCCTCTTTATTTCTATCTCCATTCTAATTTTTAATATTTAAAAAAACATTTCCTTTTTATCCCTTATCTCTTATCCAGATTAATACTTTAATTCTTATTCGCTTTCATTTTAATAAAAAACAATAATAATACTAATCATATTCATTACATTCATCAAACTAACGTAGTTCTAATATTAATACACATATTTATGTTAAGTTATGCTTTTCCACTATTTAGTTATTCAATGTTTCAGCATATTATTCCAATGCCAATCACAATATTATTTAAACATACATAATAATAATACAATTAATCTCTAATTTTCCCGCCTTATTATTGCTTTTGTTTTATTATATAAAAGTGTACGTAATGATTCCCCATTTTCTTATTTCTATCTCTATTCCAGCTTTAATCATGCCACCCTTACATTAAAAAACATTTCCTTTCTAACCATCATCTCTTGCCTGCATTAATATTTTAATTCTTATTTGTTTTTTGATATACCTCCCATATTCTTCTCTTAGATCTTTGTTTCTGTCTGCATCCAGATCCTGACTATTCAGTCTAAATATTTCTCCCATCTCTACCATCTTCCACTGTCTAGCTTTCAAAGAATCTAGCCATGCTCCTGTCTCCTTTTTGAAAATATCTTCCTGCATCTCCAAATCTCTTTTAAAAACTCTTAAAGTATTTCCCCTTTGTTTTGTTTTGTCAGTCATTATTATTTTTATTGTTGTCTCCTTCTTATCTTCTTCTTTTATTTGCTGGTTCGCCTGTTGTACTTTTTCCTTTGTTCTTTCTGTTGGCTCCTCCCTTTCCTGGCGTCCTGATCTTTACTCCAGCTTTCTCTCTATGCCATGCATTATTTCCTTAATCTCCTTGTGATTTCTTATTATAATGTCCTTTATACTTCGAAACATTAACACCATATCTTCCAAAGTTCCACTAGTTTCCCCCTGATGGAGCATCTCGTCTCAATTTAATAAGTCCAGCTTTTATCCAGTAGTTCAGGAACCATATATTCAAGCCTAAAAATACTCCTCAAAAAAATATACTGATCATAATTCCTTATGTCTCATAGTTAATCCTTCAGTTCCCTTTAAGTAGTCCAGGGAGATGTTCAAAATCTCTTTAAATCGTCTTTATAAATTCAATCATGTATCATAACATTCAGGGGTCACTTTAATTAGACATCTTCCTTGTTCTCACATTTAATCTACGATGTTCATGAAGTAGAGGCATATAACTCACTTAATATCCTCACAATCTTCCAGGTAAGTATTGTTTATATCATATCCAAAACCTTGCCAGGCTTGTAAATATGTGTTGTATTTCCTTTCATCAGCAGGTGGTGCTCTCAGCTTAAATTTCAATGTTATTACAAAACTAACCAGTTTCAAACCAATTTGATTTTAACTCAATTTATAAAAGCAGGGTTAACTTTTTAAGTAAATAGTTCCAGCATTTTAAAATGCCTTCCCGAAATAATGCCTTCCAAATTTAAAAATTCAATTTTCTGTATTTTTAAACCCTAACCCTTTGACCTTTCCAACCAATATTTTTCTCAAAATGTTCACTCTCTGCTTTAACAAGTAGCTCTGAGCAAATAGTTTTCCTGGATTTTTCTTTTGGGGTTAAATTTTGAGTAAAAAGGAATCCTCTCACCCAGTTCCAGACACTCTTTACTAACTGTGCTCCAGCACCAGTCTTAGCTGTTCCTTGACTGTCCCAGCTTCACGGCAGTCATCTTTAGGCTGCCTCTTCTCGTTGTGGCTGAGAGGGAAAAAAAGAAAGTCCCGGGCCAGGCAGGAGAGATGTGGCTCTCCGCAACCTCACAGGGCCCCCTTCTTTGCTTCGCCACCCCTAAAGGGTGGCTTTGGCTCCCTTTGGAGCCCACCAACAGGGAAAACTCAGCACAGGAGCGCAGAGACCCGCTCTCCATGACTGATCCTGCCACAACCTCAGCTGGAAGTCTTATAGTTACTTCTTCACTCACAGCAGGTTGGTGCTCTTTATAGAGACGTTTAACTCCTGCAGTGCTTCCTGGAATGACCATTGTAGTATTTGGCAATTATGGGTAAGGAAGGGTTTGATGCTGCAGTGATGTGTAGAGCCTTTTTAAGTGATGAAGAAAATGAAGGAAATATCTCTTACAACTTTATATAATGAATGAGGTCATACTAATCCATCAGTAAATCACATATGAATAATCCATTGCCCAAGCTCACAGGTAGTTCTCAAACTTTTTGCTTTCTTTTGGAGAAAGAATCTTACCATAATTGCCAAACAGTGAAAAGAAGCAATCTTCCATTATTTTGAAGCACAAAATACATGAAATCTGTTCAGGGTAAACCTTAATTAGGTGCAATTCCTGAAGCACTATACTCAGACCAAGAAAAACAAACAAAAACAAACAAAATCTAAGCCCATCAATGTACAAGATAGGTGCACAAATTTCATTCCATTACTTGGTTTACTGATTGTCCCTGTCCTTCCTTCAAATGTTATGTAATCCTTGCCTCCCCCCAAATATTCCTTTCCCTGCCTCAAATGTGAACCTGGCCTTCGAAGCTATTATTGAAATGGAGCAGAATGTTAATTGATATACTTATAATTACAACAATTGTTTTGTTTTGTTTTTCATTTCTTTTATGCAGGAAAGCTACAAGTGTCCAGCTATCTACCTCCATCCATAGTTCCTGACTATTATTCTAGTGGTAAGTTTCTTTTTTAGAGTTCATAAATATCCAACACACACACATACACACACATACAAAGAGTGATTGATATCAGTGGTGGGTTACCCCCGGTTCAGACCGGTTCTATAGAACTGGTAGTAAAACCGGCGGAAAGCTCTGCCCACTGACCCTGACATCATTACAAGCAATCTGCACATGTGCAGAAGCAAGGAACATGTGCAAGCAAAGTGAGCGCACACATGTGTGATCCCGTTGCAAACCAGTAGTAAAGGTAAGTAGAACCCACCCCTGATTGATATCAATAATAAGAAAAAAAGTAAGGAAAAAATAAAACTTTCTGAGGTCCTGGACAGTGAATCCATGAAGTAAAGGCAACAAAAGGCTTTCAGTCTTCCTGTTTGAGACAGAACAGCCAATTGCTGGATGTGGACTGAAACGTCTCATGCTATACCTTAAAATGGGAGGTTCTTCAAGGAACAGATCATGTCTAGTGCAACTATTGCTGCCTGTGAAAGACACAGGCCTTATTTTTTTTTCTCAGCTCCCTCAATCATCAACTAGAGATGATTACGTAACAAGAAAATGAAATCAATGATCTCCTCTTCTCAATTTCCAATGTTGGATTAAGGCTAAGGCCATGTTAAAATAATGTTACCCTGAATGTTCTTTCTACTGTAAGGGCACTACAGAAATATACTAAATAGAAGCTCTGTGTCTTTCCATACTTTTTATTCTTATATTCTTCTATTTCATTTTAAATGATGCACACACAAAAAATCACAGAAATAAAATGACCCGCTGATGGAAGCATGATTTTGGTGTAATTTCTTCTTTGCAGTTGATGGAGACCCACACTTTATTATAGCTGTACCCCAGAAGGAAGATGCCCTTTGTTTCAACATTAATGAGGAGCCAGGGGTGGTGGTAAATTTGATAAGAGATCCAGTTACAGGTGAGGCTTTCTTTTCTGAAACTGTGATTGTAAGTAAGAAAGATATTGCACTGCTAGATCAATTTATGGTCTATCTAATTCCATTTGATTTCTTTGAGGTCTGTTTCCTTTGGATAAAGAATACGCAGATAACATGTAAATTCTTTACCTGCCACTGTCTTTCATATTTGACTAATACTAAGGAAGTTTCTACTGCTCTCTTCAAGACCTGTTTAAGTGTTATGAATCCAGAAGGCTTGCCACACAGGAGGTGTATATACTGGGGTTGCCAAATCGTTAGATTAGTTGCTGACAACCCCATATTCTAAAGTCTGCTATAGCAGCAAAGGTAGACAATAGAAGTATCACTACAGTATCCCAATACAATATAGCTCCCCCCCCCACCTTTCAATCCACAAGGAGCAATTTTCATGCTTTGGCTAGGTTATTATTGAAAAATTGACCCATCAACTCTATATAATCATATAGGAGATGGCATAGGTATGCTAGTCCAAATGTTCATCCATTATATTATTCTGTTATAACCACACATACATTGATTCCATGTCATGCTAGTGTATCTAAAGAATCTAAAGAATTCACAGGAACAATATATTCAGGGTTTCCTAAGTTTATCAAAGCTTCTGCTATATCCTAACATCCACTCACCATCAATATATTTTAAGACTGATTATATCCTTTAGTTCTGAGTGTATTTCCCATTTTGTTAGTTCAACATGTCTATTTATTCCTGCTAACTTCTGTACTCTAGATATCAACACCTTGAAAAGTATTGTAATAGATGTCAAAAGGTGAGTTCACTTCAAGGAAGCCATGGTGATTCTTAGGCACCAATCTACAAGAGATGATCACCATAGCAGATTATCGGAAAAGATTTGATTTTAAATCATGGAACATATCCAAATACAGCAGAAATAGATTTTTTTTTGAGAAGGCTTCAGAATGTGATGCATGTGTTTCAGAGCTACCTGTACTACAATATATGACTTCTAGATGCTGGAATTACCAATAAATGGTCATTGCCCTTTGGAGAAGCTATTTGGATATTTTTAAACCAATCTGTTATTCTCTGAAGAAATAAAAATGTAATTATCCCCAATTAAAGGAGATTGAGAAAATTAAATTACTCTAAGAGGCATAATTCATTACGCTAAATATTTCAAGATTGCTTAAAGTACCAGAGGGGACCAATGGCTTTCTTTTTAGTACAAATACAATATTATGGTAAAGGAATATGCTGTCAATGAAGTTTAGGGGGAAAAGAAATAAACATTTCATTTTCATTAGAGTCAATCCCAGTTTAACAAAAAATATGCAGTATGGAATTCTGCCTCCTAGAAAAGACATTTAGAAAATATGTTACTTATACATATGCCATCCCTTTAACTTCACTTCTGGACTTTAGGTTTTACCGTCAATGGACAGCTTATTGGCGATAAAAAGAGCATCAACAATGTAAAACCACAGAACACATATTTTGGAAAACTTGGGATTGTAACTATGAATCAGAACGTAAGGCTTGAAATAACAACTCAAAATGTCATCCTTCAAAATGGTATGGAAAGGAGAATATTCAGTTGGTTTCATGAAGTTGACTTACAACAACCCGGGTGAGTTTTTTATATTCGTAATATATAAAAGTGTTATTCTTAAATCAGGGATGAGCGACTTAAAGCTTCTGTAATTTTGCACATCTCTTGGTCTATTCCAAAAGCCTAAGGCAAGATCCCAGATCAGGTTTCTGACAAATTATCCTTATTTCTTTGCAGAATGCAATGAGAGAAAAAAGAATGTCAGAAAGAATGGATGTTCCTACCCACTGTTTCTACGTCTACCCTCCCTTTGGGCTCTGCTCTTAATCTCTGCTTGTTTCAACTCTATTAACAATGCATTCCCCGAACAGACTAACCCTAAAAGAAGGTGACTTTCACAAGGAAACAAGTTTGCTCAGTCCTAATATAAATAAAGTAGGGTAGATCTAAATAAATTCAGCTACAGAGGAAGACAACATGCTACAACTTCCTTTGCAAACATGAGGCATGCTTTATAAAAAAAAATTATGTTGCAGTGGTGAAATTCAATTTTTTTTACTACCGGTTCTGTGGGCGTGGCTTGGTTGGCGTGGTGTGGTGTGGTGTGGCTTGGTGGGCATGGCAGGGGAAGGATACTGCAAAATCTCCATTCCCAACCCACTCTGGGGCCAGCCAGAGGGGATATTTGCCAGTTCTCCGAACTACTCAAAATTTCCGCTACCGGTTCTCCAGAACCTGTCAGTACCTGCTGGATTTCACCCCTGATGTGAAGTATAAAACATTCTATATGGCCTATGAAATATAACCAGTGAGATACATTTTTGAAATATATATTGAAATATATGTTTTCAATATATTTCAGATACTTAATATGGCCTATATTTAAGTAAATATGTACCCATGTTCTAGTTATCTAAAAAAAAGTGATGACCCATTATAAACAATGGGTGAAGTGGAATAATATTTCAAGAAAGAATCTGCTTATGTCACTGAGACTGAGGTAAGAACATGAGAAAAAGGATGTGGAGTCCATGGCTAGAAAGCTTCTTCTGTTACCAATGTTTCTCACCCTTAGTAACTTTGGGATGTGTTGATTTCAACCTTCAAAATTCTCCAGCCAGAATTCCTCATATCTTAAAGCTTCGAAGATTGACAGGTAGTCCTCGACTTATGACTACAATTGAGCCCCAAATTTCTATTGTTTAGCGAAACAGTTGTTAAGTGAGTTTTGCCCTTGCCACTGTTCTTAAACGAATGACTATAGTCATTAATTTCGTAACACTGTTAAATGAATATGGCTTCCCCATTGATTTTGCTTGTCAGAAGGTCACAAAAGGTGATCACATGACCCCGTGACACTGCAACCATCATAAATATGACTCAGTTGCCAAGCATCTGAATTTTGATCATGTGACCACAGGGATGCTGCAACAGTCGTAAGTATAATAAACAGTCATAAGTCACCTTTTTCGGTGCCATTGTAATTTTGGATTATAAAGGAATGATTATAAGTTGACAACTACCTGTACAGACACCACTTACTTTGATTTATCTATGAAATGTGCCATCCAAAAGTGTAGCAGATACAGTACATATTTAAAGGGTAGGGGATTTTATAGGACTGGTTCCAGCTGCAATTGAGAAATCTAAGTTGAGAAATCTAATTGTAATAAGGTGAGGAAGCTGGGCATTGTATAGGATTTTTATGGGCATTTATATTTTTGAAACTAAACATGGTTGAGGGACAGAACTGTTAGGCTGTAGCAAAATTTAATGTTCGGCTTCATTTAAACAATAGCCATGTGCTTACAGATGCCTTCTCCAGAAATGGTTCTCCCCTTGCAACCAATTTTCCTGATTCGAATTTCTGCATTATGCATACTAACAATCACTTTTTCCTGCTTGGTTTCTCTGTTCCACTTAGTTTGACACTAATAATCAAACGAAAAGAGAGCCTAGAGGTTTCAATGGATAATGGAGCAAAGTTTATTGTTGTTCTACACCAAGTGTGGAAACATCCATTACGCCAAGATTTCCTCGGATTTTACATGATTGATAGTCACAGATTATCTGAACAAACCCATGGTTTACTAGGTAATTCAAAGATGTTATTCTAAATAATTTCTTTGTTTTGTTTTTTCACTGCTTTTCTTTCATAAGGCTTTCATGTCTTCTGAAATGGCATAAGGCTTTAATGTCTTCTGAAATGGCATGATTCCTGACTGACTTGGCATGAGATTAAATAGTAACACTTGAGATTTACGTTTGTTTGTTGCCAGCAATGCAGTGTTTATTTCTGGATTGTGCCTTCTGCTATCATTGTGTATAAAAGTTGTTGAGGTCTTGGTAGGGGTTTTTTTTGGGGGGGGAGGTATTGTTATGAGTTATTTCCAGTTTAATTTACACCAAGCACATTCCATTTGATTCCTATATTCAGATTAGGGCACACCACTTGACCTAGACAGCAATAAATATATCCTGATGTTTATTTATTAAAGAACAGCAAACATCAAAAACAGTTAACTGACAAAATGGGGTAAAAGACAAGCAGAAGCATGGAGAGAGAGAGAGAGATGAACATTAGATAAAAATATAAAAGAATAATTGCATATAGGAGTTGGGCAGCATAAAAAATAATAAATACAATAAAAAGTAAAATGAATAAAATGATTATTTATTAACTGAAGATTATTTCTAAATTTAAAAAACTCTAGAACTTTCCAGTTTAATTGGAAACTATTTTCTAGGAAATTAGCATAGACAGTTCCAAAGGGCTAATTAATGTTTTGGATTAACTCAATTAACTGAGATTTAATCCTTTAATGTATAGAATAGAGATAAAAATGGAATCACCAGTTTATTCCATCTCTTTTCTGGGCCTTGAAAGAAACAATTTGATGGACAAGGATAATGTAGCCAATCATTTTGACTCTTGGCACACTTCCTTGCTTTTCTCCTTCCCATTTTAAAGAAAAAAACTGCTCCTTAATTAACAGTTTCTTCTTTAATATGGGGACAAGAAGAAAACCTATGCCATGAAAACCCATCAAGAGCCATTGTACAGGAGCTGTACACAATAGTGGGGAGAACCAGAAACTTCATTTTCTAGGGCCATTTTATCTCATCTGTAGCTCTTTGTCTCTGTCATATGTAAACACTCATACACAAAGCTCAGACAATTTCCAAAGCAGTATTTTGGATCATCCAAACAGGCTTATTTTAAATTTGAACCTTAGTGCTCCATTGCCAATCCCAATGGTATTGTGACCCATATAAACCAAGTTCTCTGAAAACAGGAGAGTAATGTACTGTATGCAACCTTTCTGTATAAGTAAAAAATAGGATTAGGACCTCAATAGTGTAGCTATAAAAGTAGGTACATCCAACTTATAGCCACAATTAGCACTGCTGAATGCAAGATGTAGCTCTTATCATTTGCTCTTGAATGATTGACAACTATTTAATCAAGTTCCTCTTTTGCTCTCAAATGACTGGCAACTGTTTAATAATTACTGCTGCTGCTGTCATGTTTGTTTTAAGGGCAATTTTTCCACCCAATTGACTTTGATATACTTGAGGTCCACCCTGGATCGGATCCAGAAAAACTAGATGCCACCATGATTGTGAAGAATAACCATCTGACAGTAACCAGGTAAAAAGAGCCTGACATTTTAGCTGACATTGAGATGCTTGCATGAACTGGATTCTCTAAACTCATTGCTTTCTATGTTATGTTGTAGGGGATGGCAGAAGGATTACGTAGCTGATATCCAGCAGGGTGCCAATATCCCTTGCTGGTTGATTCACAACAATGGAGACGGCCTTATTGATGGCAATCACACAGACTACATTGTTCCCAGCATATTTTGAAATAAATAAAAAAAACCTTAAGGATGATGATGATGAAAAAGTTCATGTTATGATAACTGCTTGTGATATCATCTGAAGAAATATTCTAATACTGGGGATTTTATTGTGAATCCAAATAACTGAAACTGATATATTCATGGTACAATATGTGTATCTTCTGCTTAGATATAATTTCAATAGACTGGAAAACTTTGAATTGATTTAATTACACATTTATTTTCTACTCATTCCTGAGTATCTGTAGGCAAGGTTTACATAACTAAACATTAAATATGGAAAAAGCGTATATGTTGCAATGTAAAAATCTCCCCAAAATGTCTGGCTAAGGCTGTGCCTAAATTTTAATAATGTTTGTGTGCAGGCATGTGTGTGTGTGTGTGTGTGTGTGTGAGCTCCAATAGGAATTTGTTCTGATGATTTATCACTTATATCTTTTATGTACACTGAGAGCTTATGCACCAAAGACAAATTCCTTGTGTGAGCAATCACACTTGGCCAATAAAGAATTCTATTCTATTCTACAGATCCAGCTGCTTTAGATAAATACTAAATAACACGGTTATTTGCTAAATTTTCAAGGCCAATTCCAAAGCAGTCAAGCAGATGGTGCCGATATTATCTTCTGACAGTGCTCAGAGAGACAATAGCAGAACCACCATTAATTACCATTGTGGGAGAAATGTTCACAGTACAGTTTAGGTTGATCCCATCCATTGCTTTTTCATTTGATTCATACCCTGAAGGACTACATTATGTTGTTCTTTATGGATGCAGTTGAGGGGAGAAATCCATGGCTTATTTTCAGTGGTGGGATTCAGCTGGTTCTCACCAGTTCTCTAGAACCGGTAACCAACTGTTTGTTCAGTTTGGGGAACTGGCTGCAGCCTCGCCCCTCCCCTCCCCTCCCAGCCACTCCTCCCCTTGCCCAGCCTCTGCTCACTGGGCTGCTTGAATTATACTTTTGGCGAGAATAAGGGACTATCTACTGCATTCCCTTCCCTCCTTATGTTGCAGCAAAAAGAGTCGCCACCTTCTCGCACTTTCCCGTCTGGCCAGACTAAGGCCATTTGTCATTCCTCTAACCACCTGCCGTGCCCCCTTCCAAGCAAGCGACATCCACGCAGGCAAAACTCTAAGGCAGCTCTAAGGCACCCGAGGGGAGGAAGCATGGGGAGATAGCATCTTGGCAACTGGACTTAGGGGAGCTCAGGGACTGGTCGTGAGAAGTCCCATGCTCCTGGGAAGATGGGGAAGAAGCTCTCCAGTTCGCTGGCCTCCCACTCTCGCAGCAGCAGCAGCAGCAGCAGAAGCAGAAGCAGCAGCAGCCAGCGCCAGGGAGGAAGCAGGTGGAGCACCTTGGCAACTGGACTGTTTTTCTCCAACCCCTTTCCTGTTTTGTCTGCTGGATCAATGCAGGGGGACGTTAACTTGAGCAGCAGCAGCCATTGCAGCTAGGAATCTCAAATAAGGCATAGGCTGAATTTTTGTGTTGTAACCAGCCCAGGCGCTAGGGTGGCCCCTGCAAAGTCCTCATCTGCTGAGGAGTCTGTCAGAGGCTTCGCTCACCACTCTCTGAGGTGCCTGGTTTCCCAGTGATGGGAGGGGGTCCTTCAAGCATTTAGCTTGGCCACCTGTTTAGTAGCTCCAGCCACTCCCTCCATCACCGGGAGTCCAGGCACCTCAGTGGGCAGTGAGCAAGGCCTCAGCCTTGCAGTTTGTTCTGCTGCTGGAGGATGGCTGCAGCGACCCCACCTTGATGCAGAGAGTCTCCTCCTTCGGGGTCTTTTTGTGCAGGTCGGAGGGGGGCACAAATTCCAACTTGGGGCATGCTTCAGTCTCCTGATATGGGGCAAAGGCTGGAGGGAAGCACCGCTGGTGGTGAAGAGCCTGGAACTGGCTGACCATCTCAGCCCACTGAGCCTACAGGCGATGGCACCTGGCCTTGCACTCCCCCAGGTCTTCCCTCTGCTTGGAAAGCCTATGCTCATAGTCCTCAGTGAGGTGCTTCTGCTGAGCTTCCAGGTGGGGAGGCGAGGAGTGGCTGGGAGGGGAGAGGTAAGGAGAGGCTGGGCGAGGCACCCCCTCAATGTGAGTGACTGTGAGTTGGCCATGCCCACCCAGTCATATGCCCACCCAGCCACATCTACCCAGCTGGTCATTAGGGCAGAGAACCGGTTGTTAAATTATTTGAATCGCACAACTAGACATAACTATGAAGAAGTTCTGTCAATAGCAATATGCAGAAAACTTGCAGGATGGGGGAGGAGATGAGAGGCTATATCCTTATCTGTGAGTGTCTATTACTGTTTTTACATGTGCAGATTGCATTGGACTTGTTTACCATCTGAAATAAATTGACTTTGGACTTCAGACTGAATATAGAGGCAAAGGTTGATGCTGCACCAACAAATGTTATGGGAGAAAGAGAAGAAGCTAAACAGTACAGAGGAATAGACAAGGAGTGTGGGTGCACACACACACACACACACACACATTATGGATATGAAAGATGCAGTCCAACTCTTGGGAGGAAGAGCATACTTTATTAAAAGATTGTTGGTTTCCAGCTTACAAGGGGAAAAAAACAGAAAGAGAAAGAAAGACCTCTTGCATTGTGGGGCACCAAATTCTAAGGCTCTGATTTGCTGTTAGTATTGGGGGACCATAACTGAAAAACAGTGTAAGGAGAGACATTTTATTGTTTAAAAGTACTGAGTCTTTTAGAGGTGGCATGGATGCTAAAATATATTGTTTCGTGTTAACCAATAGAGAAACATTGATGGGATTAAGTACCGTATTTTTCGGAGTATAAAACACACTTTTTTCCCTCCTAAAAGAGGCTGAAAATTTCAGTGTGTTTTATACTCCAAATGTAGCTTTTTTATATATATTAAAAAGTTTTTTATTTTATAAATAAACAAACATACAATTCATAATCAATCTTACAGTGTATCATCTGAGTACATCTTTTGTGTCTTCTTCTTACTCCTCCAATATTTATCATATCTTGATTTTATCATTTCATTTATTGTAACATTTCCCCCAGATTTCTTACTTTTCTATTAATACATTTATCTATCTTTTTATTTTGTTAAAAATTTTTCAACAAATTTATCCCCACCCAATCTTCAACCCCCCCTCCCCACCCCCCAACTTCCCAGAGCAAAAACAGGGTATAACGTTTAACAAACATAAGCTAAAATATGCTAACTTACTATAAGATTCAAAACTCCCTCACACTCTTTAACTCCCCTTTTAAAAATTATTCATCAACCTTCCTTTTATAAATTCTCTTATCACTTTTCTCATATGTTGCTAAAATCCTTTCCATACCTTCTTTTTCAACATTACTCCCTAATAAAATTCTAAATTAAACATTTATCCTCTTTGGTAAAATTCTAAATTAAACATTTTAAAACTTTCTTTAAAACATGTCTTTTTTAAAAAAATTATTATTAATCCATTGAGTTAAATTATATCTAACTTAAACATTTCACCACAAAATACCATAATCTTAGGTTAAACATTTTAAAATCTCTTAATACATCAATAAGACATTCTTCAAAATATAAGTTTCAAAACTTTTTAAGAAACTATCCATTAAATTTTAAGTTAACCATTTTAATACTTCAATAAGTTTTAAAAATCTATCCAATTTTAATTAAGCCTTTTTACTTCAATAAAACATTCTTCAGAATATAACCTTAAAGATACTGTTACTCTATTGGGTTAAATTACTTCTAAATCTTAAGTTCATTCTTCAAAATATAAATTTCAAAACTTTCATTTTTATATCCAAAACTAAACATAATAAAACACTTCCTTTATATCATTATCTTAAGATAAACTTAAAAGATACTAATTGCAGTAAACTTTTCAGGTTTATTACTAAGATCCTCCTCAAAAGAAATTAATCTTCCATTCTTCCTTTCTTTCTATATTTTTTCCAGTCCTTCTTCTTCAATAATACTTTCTTCTTCAGCATTGCTCCTCCCCCTGCTTTTATTTTCGAGAATTTTTGAATTTTGATTTGAGGTTGATGTATCTTTGAAACTCGTTCTCTTCTTAGAATTATTTCCTTTGATTTGAAATCCCCATTTCAACTCTTCCTGCTTATATAATCAGTCACTTCATTCCTTAAATATTGTTTCTGTCTGTAAAACCAAAAATTGTTACAATAAAATTTATCAGTTTGCAGTAGAGAGTCTACTTGCTGCTTTTCAGTTGGTTGCGTGGAAGCCTCTGCCAAAACCTCTGTTTCCAGTGTGCTAGCCTCCATCTTAATCCTGACAGCCTCTTTTTTATCCTCCAAAATCACATTAGTCTGGTTAGTTTCTTCATCTTTTCCAGCCAGCAAATCATTGTTATTCTCCAAATTATACTTTTGAAAAGTTCTTTCAATTGAGTCTAATGTAACAGAAGTATAAAAGTTCTTGTAAATCCTTTACAGTCACAACTTGTGAGTTTGCTGACTCATATGATAATGATCCTCCAGCCCTAATGTCAGCCATATTTCAATCTTCACTTTATATTTATTCAGCTATCAGGTCAATAAGTCCAATTATTTTCCACACAATTTAGAAGTGTAAATTAGTTGAAGTCAATACCATAGTCTTTTCCATTCCACTTCCACTTTAAATCTTTTTCTTAATGTGTAATCCAGTAGCTTTAACAATGTTACAAGTGTTAACAAGCACTTTCACTGATAAGTTTCATTTTCACGTCCTCAGGCGCCATTTTTTCCCTTTTTAAACGGAGTTAAAGTTCAGTACTTGCATTTTTTGTTCTCCTGATTTTGCTCTGCCAGCATCCAAAGTCAAAATTTCTTGTAATCCTTAAAGTTGCATTGCTGGTGTGGTTGCGACGCCTCATTCTGCATAAAGCAGACTCGTCTCGGATCCAGAGCAACTGAAGGGCTTTCAGGGAGCTCTCACCCTGCAAACCCCAGGCTTAAAAAGAAAAACCTGGGGGTCTAGGGGAGCTCTACCCAGACCTTTCTGCTCTTCTCTCCCCCTTTTTCCTGGGGAAGAGTTTTGAGCCGCTAGACAGCTGATTTTTGCTGTTCTAGCAGCTAACGGAATCACGGGACTGGAGCTCCTGAAGGACCGTCCATTGGCGTGCGCAGAACCACCGGAAGTCCCCCAAATGTAGCTTTTTTAAAGCTTTTTTTCAGACCTAATGAGGCGCTAGTGAATGAAGCAATCTATGCTTTGCCTGCTCCCTCCGATTCTCAGCTGTAAAGTTTGTTTTCAGTCCTAAGGAGGCGCTTGCGAGTGAAGCGATCTCCGTGGTTTGCCTGCTTTTCTCATTGCTTCTCTCTCCAAAGATCAGTTGTGCTTTAGAAGCTGTTTTTTATCCCCAAGCAGGGGATAAAAACCAGCAAACTAATGTGCTGAAGCTGACCAGACTAAGGATGCTAGCCAGATGAATACCTTATAGCAGATTTTTCCCCCTCCCTATTTTCCTCCCCAAAGACTAAGCTGCATCTTATACTCCGGTGTGTCTTATACTCCAAA